CCCCACTCACCTGTGTTTGTGTGTGGGTGTGTGTGTGTGTGTGTGTGAGAGAGAGGGAGAGGAGGAGAGAGAGAGAAGGAGAAAGAGATAGAGAGAGAGAGAGAGAGAGAGAGAGAGAGAGAGAGAGTTATGCACTATTCTGGGAGGAGGGGCAGGAAGAAATCCCAAGGGGCCTTGATAGAAAAACAGAGTTACTCTCTCCCTTTCAATGCTGCGTCTGGAAGAGGGGTGGGGACTATACCAGCCCATCATCACGCTGCATGCCAGTCTCACACACGGATGCTTCTCCTTCACATTCTCTGGGAAATTTCCCCCAGATTGGGAAAAGGACGGGAAGGCAAATCGGCCACAAAAGGCGAGTTTTCACGACTGCCGGACAAAGGAAAGCCGAGCGCACCTCCACACAGTCGCAACTCCGCTCTCTGGAGCAGCTCGCGACTTCAGCACCACGGAGAGCGGCACCTCCTCCTCGGCCACCCGTGGGGAGCCAGATCCCTGCGACTCAGCCCAGGATTCGGGTCATCTAGAGGAGGGACAATTCTGCATGTTCTACTCTCAATGTAAGTGGCTACGATGGTTGGTTTATATTGATTTTCCCAGTAGAGACTGCTTTCTCTCTGAAATATGGAATTGAACTTTTATTTATTAGCTCTTTCACAGGCATTGCTTAGGTTTGGGGATCTAAGCCTGGAGCTGAAATCTTATCTGAGTTGGTAGAATATTTCCCCCTCCTTTATCGAATGTTTAAGTTTACAAGCCGTTTAGAAATAGGAAACCCAGTCTAGTATCCTGGCCCTTTCATGCTGGAGTAGTGCAGCTTTATTCCTAGAAGAGGGCATGTGTGTTGTCTCGGCTTCTGCACTACTGACAGCATCTCTGGTTTGATTTTAATATAAATATGGAGTTGGGAGGAGAACCATAGCTACATTATAAGAGATTATCACCATTAAAAACTACAGGTGGTGATAAAAAGGTTATTCTTTTCTGTTTTCCTTCTTTTTTATTTTTTTTCTTGTTACAAATAAGGTCCTGGTGGTGTTCCCTTTAGGCGTTCACTTCAACATAGCAAATATGCTTTTAATAAAAAGAGATGCAAATCTGGGCAGGGCTTTGGGCATAAGCTTTGACACTAGAGATCACAGAGTCCCTCATTGAAGTTCAAGCCGTAAATTCACTTATGTAAGGCTGAGTAGCTATATCCAAGACGAGGTGCCATTAATTGCCATTTAATGGATTCAGGGTAGATCTGAATAAGGCAGTAATGACTGACCCTGTCTGGTCGCAGTCAGGAAACGTTTGCCTCGGAATGCCACCTGCTGGTGGCTCCTTTTTCTAAAGCATCAAATTTATGAATGAATTCACATAAAATCCAGAATATCCATTATGGATATCATGTAAATCCACTCCCTAAATTTGACTATACAGTAGCTTCTCAAGCATCTATGTCACCTTGCAATTTCATATTGATTTCCCGGACATTTGCTCTTTAGCTTAAAGGTATGTAGACTAGCCAACTCCTTTAGGCAGTAATTAACCCAGAAAAGTCAAGTCAGACCTACATGGTGCCTCACTGTGGATCATTGTGGAATTCATGTGGTGTGCTGGACGAGAACTACCAGGAACTATTGCTTGTGACAAGCAGTCACCCCCCCTTCTCCAGGAAACACTCAGCAAGTCAAGGTTTCTCTTTCAGTGCATGCCAGGCTCCTGGCACAGCAGTGGAGGAAATCCCCAGAGGGTGCTGCACTCTTATTTTACTCCAAGCCTAGTTTAAACATCAATATTTGAGGTGGCTATTTCTACTCTATCTGGAACTGTGTAAAATATGAGAGACAGACATCTAGATTCATATCCTCTGCAGTCTAAACAGGTAAATGGGGATTTAAAAAAAATAAAAAAAAAACAAAGACAATAGGCAAGGTACTAGTCAACTGATTGCTAATCCATAGAACCATTTGTAGATACTAGGAATAACTTCTTCCTAAATGATTTTATTTTTGTGAAAACCAATTCCTAATAGAAGCATTTGACATTCAGGAATAATAGATGACATTTTCCAATCCAAGATCAAATGGAAACCCATCCCATCTTAGCAGAAACACCTGAAGCAGCATGGACAGCAGGGTGGTCTGCAGGTCCCTTGTAGGGCCTGGCTGGGAAATGCATGAGCTCACACACACAGTGGAGTAACTAACCTGGAATCTGCTTTCTTCTACTCAGTGTACAAACTTCACTCTTACTAACTTAGGCTAAAACCCAACTGACTTAGGTCCACAATTAATGCAATAAATTTAGTGATACTCAATGACACATGAGTGCTTACTAGCTACAAAGGAATTTCTATGCATTTTTCACCTCAACTTCAATCTACTGGGAAGATAAAACTCAGAAATGAATGGGCTACCTTTGGAAAGCCACAAAAATTTCAAGAGTATGATGACAAAGTGGAAATGTTTCCGTGTTCTGCTCTTGTCAGTCATTCAGAACTTAACAGACAGTGCCTCTGATGTTAGCTGCTTCCTCTACCAAACTGTTGGCGTCACTGACAGCAGAACTAGCCCCTCGGAGCTGGTTTACTTCAGAACTGACACCTGGTATTTGGAGTTCTCAGGAGAAACAAGAAATAAGAGCTAGAGAGCTTTCTGGGTCCTGTACTTATGAGAACGTGGATACTGAAGCTTTATCACTTAAAAAAAAGTAAAGAACAATCCAGATAAAGTATTTGAGAACTGACCTATTTGACTACGTACCACGTCCTAAACCTAGGAACACTGGATGCCAGGTACACTAGCACTATAAAAGAGCAATCACTTTGCCAACCAAGTTCCTGTACCCTAATAGGAATGTTTGCAGACTAAATAAACAGAAAGAAATGCAAGAGGCAGACTCATGACAATAGCAGCATACCAGATGAATTGCAAAAGCTAAGAAATCCAACAGGGCACACACCTAATACAGGGTACCCCATCCCACCTTGAATATCTTGGGAAACCAGGCTAATGTACTGAAGCCCCATTTCCTGGTCTGCTAAACGGGGATGAAAATACCACCTACATAATGTCTTGCTTTCTTAGAACTTAAAATGCTGATGCTTGGAAAGTGCTTGGCCTGGAGGCTAACACGTGGTTAATGTATGATATATATTAACTATTATGATTGAATAGTCATTTAGGAAGATAGTTAAGCTTATCAAATGATAATTTACAACAGTAATTTATATAAAGCACTTACCATGGTAATTGGCACATGGCAAATGAGTGTGTGTTTGCCATCTCCATCATTCACAATCTTTTGAAACAACAGCTGATTGTATCAGCATAGCGTAGAATCTGAGCCAATAGGAGCAACCCTGTATTTAAGTGTGCCTGTACATAAGGTTTTGATCATCACTGTCTCTAAACTGCCTAGGACAATTGGTACAAATGTTACTTAATCTTCGGTGAATTCAAATGCACCAAGGTTTCCGAGAAGATTCCAGAGAATCTAACTCTTTGCTCATTCTGTGGATTAAAACTCAGAACCTGTTCATTAGGAGAGGAAGCACAGAACCAAGCTGGGCTTCCACAGGCACCTGAGCTCAGTCCTCGATTTTGTTTGGCTTTGCATCCAGCTGGAGAATGTTACAGGCTGAATTGATTTCAAGCTTGGATGATCTGCACAGAGACCTTTGATGCATGTAGCAAAGTTAGAGAGAAGAAAGGAAACAACACCTCTCTCAAAAGACCTTCTTAAGTGGTCTTTTCTGCATCGGTAATTAAGCACAACCCCACCTCCAGATCCATGCACACATGCAGCTGGACTTAGGGGGCAGATTACTACCTTCTTGGCTCACTCACATCTGGCTTCCTTCAGACTGGCCGATGCATTGGTAAGAGCAGCTCCATAAAAATAGCATCCAAGTGAACTGAGAAGGAATTTACTAATGACTCCTCCTCTCAGATGGTTCTGTCGCCACTGGAGTTCTTCTTCTCATGACACTAAAGTCAAGGTACGCACTCTGGAAAATGAGAGACTCTGTATCATAACTGAGATCTTTTGTGAGTTTGATCACTCATCTCAATAATATATGTAGATGAAAGGCATCTGTGTTCAAAGTTCATTTTGAAAGAAAATATCAAAGACAATCTGGTGCCAGTTGCACCGAGAGACAATCCTTTCCCTGGTTGGCCCTACAACAGGGATGGGGTCCAGCTGGATAACACTTTGAGTTCTCAAGCTTGAGCCTCACCGCCAGCTACACTTGGGCTGAGTGACTTTGTGATAGGTTGTCTTTTGTGGATTCTGCCCAACCCATGTGATATGTATGTCCCAAAGTATGAATACTTTAGTATCAAGACTAGATGGCAAAGGCATGGTAGTTAAATGCATTCATCATTAAAAGGATGCTAGGACTGGGGGTGGTCAGAGTCCCACAGCGAGGTTAAAGGGCTCCACCAGTATTGTGGTCCTTCCCAGGTCTGCTGTGAAGCCCTTCTGTGGGAAGTGCTCACACTGACTAGCACATCCCATGTCATATGCTGTTAGCCATACATGACTGCAGGCCTTCTAGGAGCTCAGTTTTCATTCCAAGATCAACCGGAAATGGAAGAGAACTGATCATTTTTGAACATTCAGATGCATCTCAAAGCTGAGACTCAAAAAGCTGTGAAAGACAGACTTGTTTATCACCCTTCTCAGCTTTCAAGGTCATTCGGAAAAATGCATGGCTTCCAAGGACAGTTTCCCTCTGACAAAGCCCAGCCATGTAATTACACACGTGTGCACATGTCCATACCTCCTCCCTCTCCCCCTCTCTCTCTCTCTCTCACACACACACACACACAGAGAGAGAGAGAGAGAGAGAGAGAGAGAGAGAGAGAGATGAAAGAGTATAATTATTATAGAAACATCATATGATACCAATCATCATTGCCCTAAGATTTAGATATTTCATTCCCCCTATTTCAGTTTGTTCACTTAAAAGATGAGCACAATAATATTATTTTGGCTTTTTCTTTTGTATTGTTTTGATATGAGAAAAATTAAAAATGATAGGAGAGTCTTTTTTAAGTTTGTAGGCTTCGGTGTCTACAATATTCATAGAGTTTGAATTTAGATTGGGTATTTCTGTGTTCCCTGCAAAGTGTTTTCTGCTCTGACTTGGTTCAGTGGTTATTCTATTTCCTTGGAATTTACTCCCCAAGGCTTCTTGCTATGTAATAGCTTGGTACCCTTGACCTTGAGGTCTGAAAAACTATCCCTTTTGGACATACCTCTAAAAGAATGGGGAGAGAGAATCGAGCTGTCATGCCTTCTTTTTTGAAGGCAGCTGCTGCTTCATACCTGACACACAACTCACATGCTCTTGATGGGATTGGTCTTCCCAGACTTGAGTTGTGATGACTAAGTTCAGACAGATGCTCTGAGAGGCACAGAAATGTATCTTAGAACAGGCTGAGTAATTCTATGAGGAAAATTACTCTTCTGTGGTATCAATTTCCACAATTTCTGTGTGTTTGTGTGCCCAGATAACAAGCCCTGCATGAGGGTCAGGGGGAACAAACGAGGGGACAGTTCCTCCCCCTCCTGAAGAGCCTGTAGTAATAAACCTGCACCCTAATTGTGCCTCCCTCTCTCGTGGAAGGATTGCTGTGGGATCCCCACATGGGAGCTGCCTTTTGCGTAAGGGAGCAGCTTCCTCTGTGAAATGCTAACACTTTGGAAAGATAGGACTCAGAAGAAACGTGTAAACTTGAACTCAGACACTCTTTCCCCTGCAGTCTTTTCCCAAAGCACAACTGAGAATGTGCAGTTTGGATTCTCCTCCAGCAAGGCTCACCATCAGGGTGTGTTGCCTGGAGCTGTCTTGGAGGGGGTTTCCCATGACTACTCCTTTCAGTTTTTGCAGATGAAGGAACTGCCAGGCCTTGCTGTATAGTGTTTTTCCCAAGGGGAGTGTGACTCAGCTCCAGGCAGGATTTAGAGTACCAAGCTCTGACCCCCAGTGCTCTACAGCAGAGATCAGGCCCCCAAGGACCAGGAGCAGGTCATGGGTTAAATGAGCAGGGGGATAAAAAGGAGCTCAAAATTCCGAAGTCTGCACAGTCACAAAGCACCAAATTTATTTAAAAGCTTATTTCTTCAGATGGCTTGAGTAAAGAACCAAGCATTCTGCACGCTGTAGACACAAACAGGAAGATGGTTCTCTGGGACCATGGGAAACACTTGGGTACTCACTCTGAAACAGATACTCCCCAGGTTAAGGCTATGCCATCTTGAACAATTTAGATATCATGAGTGAGAACAGACAGGGAAAGGAGAATTCAGGCAGGAATAAATGGGGGGCCAGAAAAGTTCAGTGGGGGCCTAGGGGGTACATGTGGTCTAGCCCCTCTATTTTACATAATCTGAGACCTAGAAACTGGGTACCCATTAAAGGTCCTGAGGATAGCTGGAAAGGCCTGATTAGAGCTGAAATTACATTATGGCTGTCTTTCTATTTGTCATCCTAAATTTTTGCCACAGGCCAGTGAGATGGCTCAGCAGATAAGGCTTTTCTCATCAAGCCCCACAGCTTGAGAGTTTGATGCCTGGGTCCCACGTGGTAGGTAGAGAAAAGTCAACTCCTGAAAGCTACCCTCTGGTCTCCACACTTGAGCGTCTCTCTCTCTCTCTTTCTCTCTCTCTCTCTCTCTCTCTCTCTCTCACACACACACACACACACACACACAGAGAGAGAGAGACACACAGATAAAAGTAAAGAACTTGGCAAACTCTTAGGTGACTTGTGGCCAGAAGCCTGCACCATGTGCATTTCAAAGGCCAATGATCAGGCCCTGGTCTATCAGCCCATCTGAGGATAAATGCCCCTCCCACTGGTTTGATAGAGGAACTCCACAAGCTGGTAATCGAAAGCTCTGAGCACCGCACAGGTGACATTATAGGTTCTCAGTAAATGCTAACCTCGGCTATTGGCAGATCAGTACAGCTTCTACTCTGCCACAAGGGAAAGAACAAGTGTGAAGTGAGCATAGCAAGTAAGCTGAGCTGTTTCTTCTACTGAGACTGGATCCAGGTTGAACTGAACCTAGTCTTAAGGAGATGTGGCTAACTTCCTGAGGAAGCTGATTCCTGGCTTTCAGAAGAGGCAAGATCTCCAGTCCTGCTCCCAGACACTTCTTGCCTTTGAGTAGGTGCCTGATTTGCCTAAGGACCAGCGGACGTGGCCCACGTCAAGATTGGCACCAAATGTGTGGCCTTGTTTGAAGCCTAGCGTAGCTGAACCATAGTGTGAGAACTCAGTAGAGGGTGGGGCATGGGAAGTAAAGGCAGCATTAACCATGAGGCCGGTTCCACTGTACCACCCACTGAACCTGGGCATAACAAAAGACAGGAAGGAGCAAGCGACACAAGGCTCTACGTAAGCCTTGCACGCACACCATGGCACACAAACTTGTCCCAACTGTACAGTGTGTGGCACACAAACGTGTCCCAACTGTACAGTGTGTGGCACACAAACGCGTCCACACTGTACAGGTAGGGAAACAGCAATGCAGACAGGCTGGGAATCTGCACTGCTGTACACAGATGGGAGTAAAATGGACAGCCCTTGCCCGTTTCCCCACAGCTGTAATCCACACACAGCCCACTTCCCAACACAGGGTTTCTCACTCTGCTTTGCCTCCTTGCCCCACCCCTCTAACCTCAGGGAGACACACTAAGTCAGTGTTCTTCCGGTTGGAAACAAAACAACCACTAAACCGACAAGAACAGTACTCCAGGCGCTTCTTCTAGTCTTCATATCAGTGTTGACAACAGCGGCTGCCAGGATGCTGATCACGAAGTTCTTAACTCAGGTTTTGTTTGTCCTTCTCGATAGTCCCCAGGCCCCCTGAGAAGTAACCGAGCATCTTTGCCCTTGTTGTGCAGGTTGGGGAGCAACACCTTCAAAAGCATGCAGCGCAGGCACACCACCTTGAGGGAGAAGGGGCGGCGCCAGGCCATCCGGGGGCCCGCTTACATGTTCAACGAGAAGGGCACCAGCCTGACGCCTGAGGAGGAGCGCTTCCTGGACTCGGCTGAATATGGCAACATACCAGTGGTCAGGAAAATGCTGGAGGAGTCCAAGACCCTCAATTTTAACTGTGTGGACTACATGGGGCAGAATGCCCTGCAGCTGGCTGTGGGCAATGAGCACCTGGAGGTCACGGAACTGCTGCTGAAGAAGGAGAACTTGGCACGAGTGGGCGACGCGCTGCTGCTGGCCATCAGCAAGGGCTATGTGCGCATTGTGGAGGCCATCCTCAACCACCCAGCCTTCGCGCAGGGTCAGCGCCTGACGCTCAGCCCGCTGGAGCAGGAGCTGCGGGACGACGACTTCTACGCCTACGACGAGGATGGCACGCGCTTCTCCCACGACATCACACCCATCATCCTGGCGGCGCACTGCCAGGAGTACGAGATCGTGCACATCCTGCTGCTCAAGGGCGCGCGCATCGAGCGGCCCCACGACTACTTCTGCAAGTGCAACGAGTGCACAGAGAAGCAACGCAAGGACTCCTTCAGCCACTCGCGCTCGCGCATGAACGCCTACAAAGGGCTGGCCAGCGCCGCCTACCTGTCCCTGTCCAGCGAAGACCCTGTCCTCACTGCGCTGGAGCTAAGCAATGAGTTAGCCAGACTGGCCAACATTGAAACTGAATTCAAGGTAATCCTCCACGCGCCATCCCGCGGGCAGGTGGCCCGGGGGCCCTCCACATGTACCCAATAGCAAAATGGGTTGTATGTAAATGGGTTGTATGTAAGCCTATGGAAAGCGGGGTGAAAGATCTTGGGTTCTTGTCTTTGGGGTTGACAGTAGGGAAGGGTGGGTGCAGTCGTCAGTGTCAGTTTAGGCCTGGGGGAAAGTAGTCCAGAAGTGAGATGTTTTAAGCTACATAAGGCTAGTAAAGAGGCAGGGGGGGGGGGGGGCAACTATCCGTGAGTCAGCTCTGGCCCCAGAAGCTCTGAAAGGCCCTGTCACTCAGGGATCTAAAGTCATTTAGGACAACCCTGGGACCTGGAGTTAGCGCTACTGTTTCCCTGGTGGTTTTGACCATCAAATGCACTACTCTATCCCATCCAAGGCTGTGGGTCGTACAGTTGGCTTCAGAATGACCATGAAAAGAATTTCGGCTTTTCAAAGAATTTTGAGATACGGTCTTGCTATGTATACCAAGCCAGCCTCCTGATACTCCTGCCTCAGGCTCAGTAGGACTTGGCTTTCGAGTCCATAGTATGAACCCGGCAGGGTCAGTCTTTGTAAAATCCAGTGATGTGCTTGCTGCTGTTCTGTCAACTGCCTGTGGCAGAGGCACATGAGAGAGAAAATCAAACTCTTGTTAAATAAGGGTTGAGTTTGTCACTCCAGTGAATAAAGTCCAGGGTTGTCCCAGAATTCAGCCCCCATGAGCATACCTTGGCCTACTAGGCCAGCTCCAAAGTTAAGAGACTGGCCCCCAAAGGCTATTACTGAAGAGTGGAAGGAACTTTTGCTTTTCACTGCCAACTGACTGGTTTGCTCTAAAAGAGAAGATTGGGCCCAGGAATCTTTTGTAAGAATCTTTAGACATATGTTTACTAAGAAGAGCAAACATGTATAAAGTACTTTCTGCATGCCAACTACTCACCTGGCTCACCTATGCAATCTTATTTAACCTCAACAACCCTGTGTCAAGGGTACAGCACCCCTAACTCACATGATAGCACAGAGCTGAGAGCAACCAGACCCTGAAGCCGACGCTTACCCCTGCGGCTAACAGACAGCCCCCTGCTCCTCATTCTAGTGCTCGGCTTCACAGTTGCTCTTGCTTTACGGAAATGAAGGGGGTGTGGCCAGGAGAGTGGAGCCTAGACTCGGTAGATTCCATTTTGTCCCTTGCTAAGAGAATACTATGAGGTGGATGCCATGGAAATACAAGGAGGTATCACACAGAACTGCCAATCAAGCTGAGAAGAGCTGTCACCTACAAGTGAATAATTCATTGTCCAAACAAGATGTCAGTGTAACAAGTGTCCCTGCATGGGGTACAACTAAGTGGTCAAGGCTGAGTCCCGCCTCAGGCAAGGGGGCCTTTGGCCAAGCTGCTCCGGCAGTTCTCAAAGGAGGAGCTACACACACAGACCCCAGACAGCTGAGGGTGAG